TACATTTTCATGTTCTCCACCCCTCGCTCCACAGCTTACATGGGACTTTCCCCCTCAAACCTCCTCCTCCTCCTCGTTCCCAAGGAGGCAGCACCAGTGCGTGCCATTCCCTGCATGGGGACAGGGCTGGGCAGCGAGGGCAGCAATGGCCAGACCACACTGGTATCTTGGTCCTTTCAAACCAGCCCCAGGAGGATTAGTGCTGGCAAAGACCCAACAGGGTCTAATAGCTGCAAAGTGCCTGAGATCAACCTGAAAAGTCAGTCTTCCCCCCAAGAAGCAATGGGAATGGCTTCCTGGGAACAAGAAGACATTGGTTTGGGTCTTCAGTGATCTCCTGGCTGTGTGTGCATACAAGGCTCGCTCTGCTCCTCCTTGCAGGAGGGTGTGAAGGCCCTTTAGAAAAAAATCATCTGAAGTACCATGCCTGTGATCTGCATTACAGATACATTGCGCAGCCCCGGTGCATGGTTGAAGACAGGTGGGGAAATGACCTCACGGGCAGGTAAGTGCAAGGAATATGGCCTTTCAACATCAGTCTTCATGATTAATGTGGACAGGAAAGCGGAGGTCCCCAGGGCAGTTGGCACTGGAGCACAGGATGGATGAGGAGAAGCCAAGTTGGGGTGCTCAGCCCTCGAGAAGACTAAAACCTGAAGGAACTTCCGTGGGACCAACAGCTCTGGCTGTTTTCCCAGCGAAGCCTGAAGCGGTGCCACCATCTGCTGAGACAGCAGAGACCTTAAAATACTGGTTGCAGAACTACTTTCTGCAATGAAAACCAACACAGTCCCCCCCAAAAGGCTTGCAGCCCTTTCCCCTGCACTAACGAATTTGCTCTGGCTAAGCGCTTGCTCTGAGGTTGGCTTCACACCAGCTGAAGAAAGACATTTTGCAGCCAGCGTGTAATTCCCTGGCAGCAGAGGAGCCAGTGGGCGGAAGGTGTCTCAGCCAGTATTTATGTCATTTGCATTGATCCAAGCCCCAGACATGAAGCTTTTTTCTCCTTCCCATTTGTTTCTTCCCCTCAGCCGCTCTCCAGCCCTGCAGTGGAGGGGTGCACCAGACCTTCCCCCCAACCCTGCCACCACAAACACCTGTGCCACCATTTTGGGCAAACCCAGACCCTCTCACAGGCTGGCGTCCCAGTTTGGCAGTGAGACATGCAGTCCAGAAGGCTCAGCGGAGTGGTTATGATGAATTTAGCTGTAAAATGTGTTCTCTGCCCCAGAGGTCACCTGCCAAGAGAGTTTTCTAAAATCATCTGGGGTCACGTCTGATGTGCTTCATGCTTTGACAGCAAGTTGTGTGCCTGGGATGCGGGATCTGGCTCCTCTGAGAGGGCATTTTTCTCTGGGATGAGGGGTTTGAGGAGAAATACTGACGGGGCTGGAGCACTCTGTTCCTCAAGGACACAGGTTCATTCCTAGAAGAGCAAGACAGTGGATGCTGATAAGCCCAGCAAGGTCTTACCCCTTCTGTCCCTGTGTAGGAGCACCAGAAAGTGCTTATAGGTGCTCCAAAACACCTGCTGCCTTGGCAAGCATCCCTCTGCAGAGCATATTGTGCTGCTACGGTGGAGATCCTTGGCCTGATGCCAGGCAAACCGGCTTCCCCGTCGAGCCGTACCTGCGCTGCCTTCCACAGTACTTTCCCATCTCGCTGCTAGTCTGATGGCCCATGTTTTCCAAAATACACAGACTAGGCTGCAAGTTGCATTCAGATGAGATTCGGAGAGCAAGCTTGTATCCCGGTGGGTCAGGCACCTTCTCAGAGGCAAACATCTAAACCTGGGGCCAGAATTGCAAATCCTTGCCGTCAGCACCCTGCGATACTGGTTTGACTGTGAATGTTACACGCCAGCTGTGTATTCTGCTGGAATATTGATTCAGTACAATTTCAGAGGGAATTCAATTAGCTAAATTACCATCTTCCCAGCATGGCATGGTTTCAGATAAAATGTTATTATCCAGGAGTCATCCCTGCTTTGTTAATGCGATAACTGCAGCGGAAGTGGAAGAACACACGGGGAAGACAGAAGCGGGAAGACGCTGAGAAATAAATGAAAAGAAAAAAAAAAAAAGCAAGGATTGGCTTCACCAGCTTTAAATACAGCGTGAGGGTTCATGCAAGATAAAACTGAACATGTTCACTATTTAATGTCTGGCTTGTTCCCTGTGCAGAAGGCAATTGCACAATTGCTCTGACGGGCAGAACTGACCCGAGCCATGAGCTGATGGTACCGATGCAGGTCATGTCTCATGACTGGCACAGTTCTCAGCTGGCAGAGGTGTGTTGTGAACGGCGTGGCTTCTCTCTTTAGCCAACCGCTGCAGCGGGATGGTTGGGGGACACTAAAGACCTGGGCAAGACTGTTGCAGGAAAAAAAAATTAAGTGGTGAGCACGCATTCAGGGGAGTGAACCTACTGTTATAAAGATTTCTCCCCCAAACCGATACACTAATCTTCACTTACTCAAAATCAGATTTTAAAATGTTTGTACTCAGAGCTCGAAGGTCG